TCATTCACTCGAGTATCATTTTTGATAAGTAAGTATATGATTTCGATGTACTCACGGAAGAGAAGACAAATCAACTTTCATCTTTCAAAATAGTCCAGCGGGTCCCGCTCAAAATTAATGCCAAAGTCAGCCATTTTTTCCATTTTTTCCAACACTTCTCACTTCTGTATTGAGGATTGAGGAATTGTTGCCGCTGTGAGGAGATTGTTAAGTTGTAGAGTCGAATAATGTCTTACGCAGAGTTTGTACGTGAATTGGCCTTCATCATACTGAATTATTGAAGCGGCGAAAAAATGACATGATCTCATATTGAAGCAAACCTACACAACTTGTGCGTTTTTGTGTGTTTATTTTTCTTTATGTGCATTTTTGTGTGTTAGAATTAGAGTTTCTAACTCTCAACACTACACACAAGGCCGAAACTCTTCTCTTTAAAGGTTTTTGAAGTCAAGATTTTTATAAGTGGAAATTACATAGAACCAAATATTTTAAGTTACATTTTCAAAAATCAGATTTTAAGTTTGTTTATACAAAAATCATGTCATCACCGGCACCGACATGGTACCAACGCTCATAGCGACGAACGTTGCTCGCTGCTGTAGAGCTGATCTGCTGGAGATTTGCTTTGTTTGGTGGTTTGATTGCAGCGTCGCCTCGATCCGATTTGTAGTTTTGTTTTGTACGGTGATTTGAACACCGCCTCAATCCATTCTAATGGAGTGTTGGTTTCTACATCAGCGCCTCGATTTCATCCGCACTGGGTGGTCTGCGATGTGAGGGGCGATGACGCTATGAGGGGCGCTGCATCATTATGCACCGGTGATCTTTGTGTGTAATAGAAAAAATGATGAAATCTATGGTCGGCGATGGTGATTTGTGCATACGTTATTGTGAAGTAGTGATCTATAGCAGTGATATTACTGCACAATGGTGCTGCGCAAAGGGTTGCGCTGCAGATTGAGCCTGTAGCGGCCTAGATAGAGGCTACAGCGGCAAAGATCACAGCTGTAGCGGCGTAGATCATGGTGATGATGATGATTTTTTTTTTTTTTTGTTGATGGGTGTTCGTGGTTTCCAAGTTTTAGTGGTTTTAGGGTTGGTGGTGGTGGTGTGGTGGTCCGGTGGTATTAGTAGTGTTTGGGTGGTGGTGGTGATGTTAACGGTTGGGTGTATAGTGGTGGTGGTGAAGACGTTGACTGCGATGTTTGAAATGATGATTTTGTTGTTGGGAAGTGGTAGTGTGTTGGCGGCGGTGCGTTTCTGTTGTTGGCGGTGGTGGTGTGTTTCTGTGGTGTTGGCGTCGACGGTGGCGGTGTTGTGTTGGTGGTGATCACAAATGATTTAGTTGATTGTGACTAATAAATTGGTTGTGTATGGCCAATAAATAATATGTGACAATGAAATAGATAAATTGTGATTAATAAATATTGTTTGACCTAAAATTTTATTAATTTGTGACCAATAATTTGATAAATTGTGACATAAATATAATTTGTGATCAATTAATTTGATGTTTTGTCTCCAACTTTCATAATAATACAAACTTTAATCCTTTTTGGTCAATTGTCATTCTTTTTCATCAATTCTCGTCTAATATCAGATTTTCACAGAAAATAATTAATAAACACATAAAATTAAGTATCTCGTTTCTAAAATAATCCAAATGGAACTCCCAATTTTAAACTCCATATATTCTTAAGTTTTTTTCTAAAAATTCTAGATGCAACATATATATATCCTCTCGAGTTATTAATTTTTTGGACAAATAATGATGAAGACCAGAAATTTATTAATAATAATGAGTAGTAATTTTGACTATATGATTAAAATTAAAATTTTGACTTTGATTAGATAGTAGAAGTAACTTCCAATTTTCTAAAAATGGAAATTCTACATAAATTTTCATGCACTCTATTTATTTTACATGCACAACGCTTTTTATGTTTGATCCATAACCTCTTTGAAGCATGTGAATTACTGCTTTTATGCTTATTCGTCTTGCCGAATTAGTGATCTCACACGTGAATGCAACCACATACACACAATTACAGTAGCTGGTGGTGGTGGTGGTGGCGGCGATGTGGGGAAGAAGAGGCACCAAGGATCAAGTATAAAAGATTAATATAACTTCTTGTATTGATTTCTTAGTTTCACATTAACCAAACAATGTGTACACATGACCTGCGCAGCTAAACCTAGAAGTACAAAAAATTGTCAAAAACGAAAGAAAATGTATGACTAAAATCTTAATTCACCACTTGATGTTGCGGGAACTTATTATTTTATGCTATAAGCAGACACACAAAATTCTATAACAACCTCTTAGTTAAAACTGTATGCATTTTTTTGAGAAGACAAAACAGCAACAGTTATACAAAGAGCAGAAACAGAAACGTGAAGGCCACCAGCTAATGCCCGGGTCCACGATGACTTGGCCCTGAGTACGCCCTTTCGATGCTAAACCCGACCATCATCGGATCAGATAGAGAACTATGCCTGATGCACATAGCACTCGAAATCAAGAGAAAGAAGATGATAACGAAAAGAGCCTTTAGGGCCAATACAAAAGCATGAGACCTCATCTTTTTTGTATTGTCTTGGCCAAAAGGCAAAGATTGTTGGAACTGTGGATTCTTGAACTGTCTATATAAAGATGACAAAAAGGATGGTAGGAGCCGAAGAAGGGCATGTTTATTTGACTTGGAAACGGGGATTTTTAGGGTTAGTTGGCGGGGAGAAACAGGGACACGTGTTCAGAGTTTGAAAAATGTAGAAGCTGATGTTTTGAATTGAAAAATAATGGACATGCTGGAAAAGTAATTAAGCAGAGTAAAATAAAAAACATATTAATAATACTATTTAACAAACAAGTCACTAGCATTATTCTTCAAACAGATATGGA